AAGTCGCCCGCCGTGAACGCGCCGCTCGACAAACGGAAGTTTTTGGTGAAACGGCCCCGCTGCGAACGTGTCAAGAAATGGTGAAGTCCGACTTACCTTTTATGTCCTTTGCGCGCTGGTTATTAGTTCTGAATATGCGGCCACTTGGACTTTTCCGCATGTCTCCGCTGGTCCGAACGCAGTTTCGAGCTACATATCTAATTTGTTTTTGCAGGAAACATGAAGCTTCGAGGAAAGAGCACTACAGGCCTACAGGGCGTTCCAACTGCAGGTAATACAGTTGTGAAAATTTTGACACCGTATGCTCACTCAAAACTGAACCCTAGAATGGCATCGAAGTGCCTGATACTGCTTATTCCTGACGACAATTAGGACAATTTGAAACAATTACAGAAAACGGCGATAGCAAACAATGCATACAAAGTAGTTGTTATAAATGTGGAAGAAGGCAGAGAGTTTCGAAGATTAGTGTTTATCTTTGCGCTATTGAACTGATCCCTTGTAGTTTGGTTGTTGATACAATCATTCGCACAATTTCCTGTGAGGAGTCGTCCGTAGCTTTCGCCGGTAGAACGTGACAATAAGGGCGGCTGAGAATAAGGGCGGCAACCTGCGGCGAATGATCATTGACTGAGCTTGAATCAAGTGATGGTAAAGGGACGCGTGGTCCCGCCACAAGCTGGCCTAACTGTCTCGGAAAACTCGTTTGTCATTTCTTCTATGTTTAGACGTGTAGTGTTCACGCGACAGTCATACTTTCTGGGAAAATTTTCTATGCATCAAAATTAGAGTTCCAAACAGAGGTCATCACCCTTGTGTAAGTCACAATAGAGGAAGGTGGGCCGTGCTAAGCCCACACGAATTTTTTTTCAATTGCTTACTTTTCCTTACGCGCTTTATATGAAACCAGTCGGATCGGCCGGCGAAGCCGGCCGATCCTCTTTCTGCGTGTGGAGTGACTCTCCCCGCACACATTTCCCAAAACTGAAGGGCCGGTCGGAGTGGCCGGCTTCAAAGGCCGATCCTCCTTCTGCGTGTGAAGTGACTCTCCCCCACACATTTCCCAAAAATAGAAGGGCCAGTCGGATCAGGCCCCCCCCCCGTAGTATTCAGCTCTTTAAACTTTTCACGTCCTACCTAAAGATTCTTGAGCCGAACTTTCCTCGACAGATATTCGACGTTTTCCACTATTTTCTTTGACGGGGGAAAAGAGCTTCCATGTGTACGTCATGATATCCCCATTTGGATCAAAATGCAACGGCTAAGTCTGTAAATACACTGGTGTGCAAAACTTAGGGACGAAAGCAACTTTCGATCACTGTGCCTCTGCCAGACAACATAGCTCGATGAAATTCATATCATATCAAGAGAGAACCTTAACGATATTGTACAGAAAGCAACTGACAGAAACTCGGAATAAGACGAATTGTTATGACATTTTTATTCAACCATGTCGATTACACATAAGTCTTCACGATTTATCCTGGTACTACAAAAGAAGTTACACGGATCCTAATAGGGTGTGTGATCACCACGGACAGCAATACATGCTCTGCACCGCGATCCCATACTCTCCACGAGGTTGGTAATGAGTTCCTGGGGCAGGGCATTCCACTCCTCAATCAGTGCATTTGACAATTGCTGGATCGTCATTGGTGCATTTGGTCGTGCTGCAATGCGTCTACCCAGTGCATCCCACACGTGCTCGATGGGATTTAGGTCGGGGCGGGCCACTCCATTCGCCGGATATCCTCTCGTTCTAGAAGCTCCTCCACCTGTGCTGTTCGATGCGGTCGCGCATTGTCATCCATGTCAGGGCCGATTGCAGCTCTGAAAAGACGGACATGATGTAGGAGAACCTCGTCGCAGTAACGCTGACTGGTGAGGGTTCCATGCTCAAAAATCTGGAGGTCAGTACGGCCATGCAACATGATGCCTCCCCATACCATAACACCTCGACCACCAGTACGATCACGTTCGACAATGTTTCCGGGGGAGTTGCGTGTTCCCACCTCTCGCCATATGAGGGTGCGTCCAGAATCACTGCTCAGACTGAACCTGCTCTCATCCGAAAAGAGCACACGGCTCCATTCCTCTCCATTCGCCATGCTCCTGGCACCACCGTAAACGGTCTCGCCGATGCGCGGGGGTCAAAGGAACACAACGTAACGGTCGTCGGGCGAAGAGACCACCACCATGCAGTCGTCTTGCCACTGTAGTGCGTGAGATGGCTTGCCCTAGAGTCCTGTTAAACGTCGTTGCAATAGCCGAAGCCGACTGACGAGGATCTCTTCTTGCCTGCTGCACAATGTAGCGGTCGTCCCTTGGTGTAGTTGTCCTTGGTCGGCCACCTCCTCGTCTTCGGGCAGCAGTACCAAAGGTTCGGAACGCTCTCCATGCACGTGAAACAACGCTGTGAGCGATACCGAACTCCTGGGCTACACTCGTCATGGTTCGACCTTCTTCGAGTTTCCCTATGATCCTTCCTCGAGTGAAGTCATCCAGATGCTCTCTTCGGGACATGATGTATCGAAGGATACTACCAGTTCTTTGCAGCTACTCGTTGATTGAGAAAAAAATTTTTTCATACCCATAGACTGCCTCGATTTGCGCGGTCGGCCATATTTGGCACTTTATTCAAGCTCTTCTTCCACCGAGAAAAGTCTAGCTTCCTGTGCATATCCCTTAGGCGAGTGGCAACATGCTCCCACACTTTCATTTACTTCCACCCAGTCATTAGTGTTTTATGTTACTTTATCCATCTCGTCCCTAAGTTTTGCACACCAGTGTATTTCTAGCTGAATATAGTTCGCCAAAAATGTGCGTGAGTATGTGTGTGCGTGCGTCATGAAATGCATAGCACTTATAAGTGGGACAATGCTACAAGAAGGTATACAAAGAGCTGGGACGGAAACGCTTTCGCACGTGGCTTGTCTGTGGAGATTAGATTGAACCACATAGGAATAGCACTCACTCGAATTGGCAGCTGTTCGACCATAGTTCCAATGGTCTTTGTCAGAACACCTTGGTCTATCTTCATACATACATGCCCTTGCAAGTGGTCGGCAGTTAATTCTTATTCCAGCTAACAATGAGGCATCAGACCTTTACTGCTGACCTTGACGGAATTCGCACGGGATCATCCTCTAGAATTTGGATTATTTTTCGCTAATTACTAAATATTTTTTGTATTCCTACCATATCCAAGACTTGGGTGGAAGATGTCCTACTATCCCGTCCGAGCCTTACATCCAAAGTTTCGTGAGGCACTGATGTGACAACCGCCCTATTCGCTGCAGTTCACGCTCCACAGTTTATAACGTGAATGCTTAATTACGACAAAAAACCTGATCTTGACGAGGATCAATTTTGAACGAACTACACGCTTACCGGATTAGTAGCCACTAGATCGCCCCGCCTCAAAACTTTGTA